AACCATGACTTCTCTATGAAAAATGATGGCCTTCGGGGTAATACTTAAGACGAATTCATAATCATGGTGCAACCCTTGATGACAGCCACAGATTCTGTGTGTAGCAGTGGAGAGTGTGATGTGTGAACTGTTTTCCAAGAAACCTTCAGGTAGGGAGCAGTTCAGTGAGTTTTCAAGGGGAACTGAACTCAACATGGATTCCAAGGCCCTGATCCGTGTGAATCATCACGTGAAGGTAAGATTGAGTACAGTAACTATCTGTTTGTGAGAGAGGGTGAGATTCAGAAGCCTGGTCTTGAAGTCCTGAAGAAATGAGCAAATGAGCCGGGAGGTGGTGGTGCATGCCTTTAATCCCAGGACTCGGGAGGCAGAGACAGGCAGGTTGCTGTGTGTTCGAGGCCGGGCTGGACCAAAACAATACAGAGAAACCCTGTCTCGTAAAAACCAAAAAAAAAAAAAAAAAAAAAAAAAAAGAAAGGAGCAAATGAGTTGGGATATCCTAGCATCCTCAGCACAGAGGGAAATTTACTATTGACCTGCCAGACTGAAGAGTAATGACAGAATGAGAAATCATGGTTGCGTGATCTTGGCATCCAGCTTCTCTTCTGATCATCTGATCCTGGCATTTTCTCAAACAATGGTGCATATTGAATTTGTTGACCAGATCTTCATCCCTGCAGGATGGCAGGTAGCTTGTGCTGTCACTTACTTTCTAGAACTCTGACTATCTGATGAGTACCATGTGCACAGATCAAGTAGCAGCTTGCATAGTGGATTACAGAGATTTTCAGTTTGTGGGAATCAACTGTGCTCTGGCCTTGTTTCTGTTGCAGATCAAAGAAGCCTGGGCTGTGAAATGGTTAAATTCAGGAAATGAGGAATGGAAATTTCCTAAATGCGGATTTTGTATTTTGTGTTTTGTATTTGTTTTGAGAGATAATTCAGTATGGATACTGGCTAACTTGAGCCTCTCTATGTAAAACAGGAAGATATCAAAATCACAGAGATGCAAGCCTCCCTCATCTCCTAAGTGCTGTCTGGCTTCATGTACTGTATTGCATCAATGGTAATTTCTTCCAAACATGTGAGGTAGAATGTTACAATTTTTTTTTTGCTTTTTTATCTGAAAAGGGTCAGGGATTGACCTGAAGGCCCATTCTTCCAGGATGGTCTTTAAACAGGGAGGACTCTAAATCTGGCCTTCAGAATAAAGTCTATGTCCACTATGAACAGACTCGTGGCGGTGAGAAGTTCTGTCATGAGTTCTGTGGACACAAGTCAGTGAACTGAAGCAGGTGTGCCCTAGCTGACAGATCCTTGGATATAAGGCACAGAGTAGTAACGTGTAGGACTAACCTTGTTTCCCCAGAATCTACACCTGCAGTCCAGTTATAAGTCATATGACTTTCATATGATTCATTACAATAGTGAAGATTGTCTCCCTGGTCTGATTGATTGAGTTCTTTCCTTTTAGGCCATCAGAACAAGTCTTATAACCAAGGTGGGTCACCGAGATATTAGGTAGTTGTCTTGGGATTTTGAAGTCTGTTCTTTCACTTCAAGGGCACTAATGGTAGAGACACTGCAGAAAGTCACATACTCTGGATAGGGTTTTCTAGTTGTCCTCATCCAACGCAAGGAAGATTCCACTTTCCTGCTGACTTCCATGGCTAGTCTTGTCATGGCCTCCCATTGCTGCATTTACTTGTCAAATCTGTTTGGGTTGCACATTGGGCCATGGATCCCTGTTCATAGCTGCAGGCTAATGGGGAATCTAGGGCTGCAGGTGTCCTGATACTAAGCCAACTATGACTCTGAGAAGCAGACTGGGCTGTTTTCAGGGTAGAGGTGATCCTTCCCCTCCTCAGTACACTGTGGACCATCCCAAAGATAACTGTCCTATTACATGTCCTTTGAGTCCTGTCATTTAATTTCTGGCCCTGATAGACCTTCAGAGTTTACATATGAAAGAATAGAGGTGATTGGCTTTTGGGACTTGTTTGTCACATATAATACAGTCATCTTAAGATCCATTGTTTTGTGGAAATTTTCAAATACTGAGGCTCAATATGTGCTGTTTGCCCCACATCCACTTCATATATTAATTTTATCTTTGTTTGTATTTGAAACTGTCATCTATCCTTTGCAATTGGCACACTAGCTTGTTTCTCTATACGGGTAGGCAAATTTAAAAATCTGACATCAAAATCACCAGTCCCATACTACTCCCGTCTTTTATGTCACTAACTGAGTTGAGTTGGAGACCATGAGTCCCTGGGATATAGAGGTACCAAGAGACAATTTGCAGAGGGATGAGTTAAAGAATATGGGAGAGACAGAATGGAGTCTCCACGGGGAGAGGGATGTGCAGTGGGGTAAGAACATTACAGACTGAGTGCTGCATATTTCAGATTCCCTTTCTATCCTTTCCATGTGTCCTTGTTTTTAAACTGATGAACTCTATACATCAGGAGCCACAGGCTAGAGATTTCCAGCTGTGGTCTAAATGAGCAGAAGTAGGAGCTATGCAGGAATTACAGATGGCATTGTGCCCAGGTACACAGCATCTAGTGTCTGTGTCCAGCAAAGGAGGAGGTAAGCCATCCTCCACAGGTTTCTCCCCAAGTAACCACAATTCTCAAGGAAAAATGTTTCAGGGCTGACTCCCCTCAGAATCTGCAGTACAGGGACCTCTGAGCCAATACCATGTCCACACTGGCTGTGGATGTACAGTCTACGTGAACCAGTCTTCAGAGAAACACCTCAGCAATGCTCACTAATCTGTTCATCCCTTCAGGTTCTGTTCTTGTGAAATGTTTCCCCCATAAGGGCAAGGATGCACCTTCCCTTCTTGCCTCCTCCCTGCTGTTTTGCTTGTGGCCTTCATTTATCCCTGTGTACTGTCCATCAGAAAAGCATAGTCACACGTGTGCTGGTCAAGTTTATGTGTTTGTGAGGAGACTTCACTGAAGGGAGTTTTCTCAGAACTATATTTGTCTCCTGATAGGAAGGTGACAGCAACTTGGAGGAAATTGGTTGTCAATGTGCATGGAATGCTGGGAGTTTTCTCCATTTTGGAAGTGAGTAGGGCTTTCCTAGGCTAGGAAACACCCACCAGAGTTCCGGTCAGTGTTCTTAAAACAACTTTGTACTGTATCCCCCTTGGGACATGGGTCAGTCCTGGACAGGCTGTGTGAACATAGAGTAAATTTTTGAGTACCTCAAGGCTGAAGTCATCACTGAGACCACTGTACCAGCCTGTGATAGATGAGAAGTTTTTGGTCGATGGTGTAAAATTGCCTCTGGCTTTCAAGTAGGAAGCAGAAAGCTGGCCAGGCATGCTTCCTAAATCCCAGGGGAATGTGGTCATTGAGCTGATGTTACAGAGGATAAAAGGAGAAAGACAGTATCACCCTAGACAGGGCTTCAGATGGATGTTGAGAGAACCTGTTGTAGGTAGCACATCTGTCTGCTCTGACACTAGCATCATTTAGGAGGTACCGCTTGAATCAAAGCGGCTGAACATCTCCTCACGTATGAATATTATGATAGCAATAAGATATGTTATATGCGATATTTTTTCTATCACACCCAGTGATTTAGTCTATGTTGTTTTTTACTTCCAGGAGGGTGAAGGTTCAAACTTACTAGCAAGGAAATAGCCCCAGAGACAATGAGCTGTTTGCTGCTGGCATGTAAATGGTGTGTTTGTCAGTAGTTATACCAGTAAAGCAGGCTTAAATTCTGATGCCCTTAACTAACACCAGTACCTGGCAAGGGACACTTCCCTACCGTGGCAGGTCATGGATTCTCACAAGAGACATCACAAGTGGACCAGGGGCTCCAAGCCCATGTGATGGTCTCTAAGAATGTGAATCTCAGAATGCAGACACAATGACCAAAAGAGCAGAGGAGCCTAATGTGCACTTTTTATATCTCTGACCACAGGAGGGAGCATGTTGTGGCCTTTAGACTGTTTCCTGGGAGAAGTCAGCTCATGATAAGACTCACACACTTCACACCCTCCTTGCTCCCTGTCTGCCTGATGGATGGTACAGTAAGAGGGGATTCAACACAAGCTATTTATAAATGCATCTTTACACACACTACTACAACTTTGTCTGTACTATAATTGTGGTTCTTAATTGGTCTAAATAAATAAATACCTGGAGTCCTATATGGAGGAAAATGATGAGATAACAGACAGAAGGAGCAAGATAGCTTACCTCCTCAGCAACTGAAGAGACAAGAGAGTGAATTCCCATTTCCCTGTGTTATATTCTGCCCAGCTATCGCATTTCATGTCTGTCTGTACAGAACTCTGTGGTTAGTTAGTGGCAAGTTCCATTCTAAAATCCTCAGACAAGCAATCTTTGTACAGACAAGATATCACCACACAGTTCTGTTTACCTCCCAGTGGAGGAATCATAGTCCTGGAGATGTTCAGTGGCTTGCTCTATTGGAGAGAGCATTACTGATTAGAACACTGTTCAAATTCCTTTGACTCAGATATGATAACAATTGTGATAACAGCCTGGGTGACTTGAATTCTCAGAGGTCAACTACAGAATTGTAATTGACCTTCCTTTCTCACCTCAGATCTCCAAGTTCTGTTTGACTTGTTCTGTGACAAAGCTACTTTTACCATATGTGCATCCTGAGTCATCTAGGTGAGTGTCAAATGGGATTGGGTGCAGGAAGCATTGGGTCTAGTTTCTCACATGGTAATGGTAAACTGCTTTTCCTATTTGATACTAGAGCCTTTTTATGTGACAGTAGCAAGAAAGCCAGGACAAGCAGGAATGAGAACTTCCTAGGAGACCCACCGAATTCTACCTCAGAACATCACATGGGATGGAAATGGAGATTGGCTAGTCCTCATCAGTTCCTGATTTTCATAAAGATTAACCAGCTCTTATCTGAGACGCCACCGGTCTTGGGATTGTGAATGAGTCTTCTGTGAGTATCATAAGGGATCTAGAATGAGCCTTCTCTTGTAGGTGCCTGGCCACAAAGTGAATCGTGGACTCCAACTCCTGATCTGCAGACGTGCACATTGCACATTAGTGACCCTGAAGGAGGAGTGTGCCTCTCAGCTCTCATTTACTGGAAGATTACCATGTCAATGCCGAGGTCCAGAGGAGCTCAGAGGTTCCACAGCGAATCATGGGGACACGCTGTGGAGAACAATTCAGTGGTCACTCTTCCACCTTCCAAGTGCAGACAACGACCCAAATCACCAACAACATCTATGGATTCTACCGGAGGGTCCACTAGTGAGAGCCTCCCAGTGGGTAGATACTGTTGAATATCTACCCCTGCACAACTTAGACCCATTTGCATTCTGGCAGTGTAGCATGTTCTATGCCTTTCTGTGTGCAGGATAACCCAAAAACATGCATGAGAGGGAAAGAAATTATCTCAGAAGAGCCTTGGGAAGTGAATGACCTCCTCCTTCTGAACTCTAGAATGGATGTTGAGTAGGGCAAAGTCAATGGAACCCTGTCCCAAGCAATCACTAGCTTGAAGAAGATTGCTTTTACCAATACCTCCCATAAAGTTTCAGAGTTCCACAAAGGCTACAGGGATATGGAGGAGACTGGACATCAACTCACATACAGTTTTAGCATATCGAACCTGCTTGGTATTGAAACAACACTCAGGCCATGGCACATCCTATAAAGATAGCTGAAGGCCCTTTAAATAAACATCCCCCTATAGTAGTCTCAACTTCATTGACAGATATCATGTCTGGTGACTTCCCTAATGCCTCACACATACACTTACTTTCAGGTACCCCTGGATAACAGAGCAGCCTCTACCAACCTACTCTAATATTAACAGGCCTGGATTGATACAAATTCATCCCATCATCTAACATGTATTTAATACAAAGGTGCCCTGCTAGATGCCCTGTCCTACTCCTCCCCACTGATATGCATAGTTATTCATCAGGATCTTTAGACACCCACCACTCCTATGACCACACATCTAATTCTAGGTATCAGGTTTTGTTTGACCTCCTATCCCACAAAGCACTATCTTTCAGACCATGCTGTGAACTTCACCTCCTGTCACACTCATGAAATTGTCTGCTCAGTTTTGACCCATTGGACATCCTAACTCTGCACTTGTCACAACTTCAGTGCCAGTCACCATTTCTGATGGTGTCCTCCTCAAGCACACAGAGTGCTGGGTATCAGGCTCTATTACTATTAATGTGCCATGCTGTACATTAACTACTCCTGCAGTCATACAGAGTGATGTCCTTCACATTCACCTGAAGCCAACCTGCCTTCCCATATGATGTGCCAAGTTTGAAAGTAAGCTTGTCACACATTCTTGCTATACACTGCTGACCACCAAACACTACTATATTCCATGGTCTTATGGAAACACACACACACACACACACACACACACACTATGAGCCTGGTACATTTATGAATTTTGTCTCATATACTCAGAGGCAAACACCTATGGATTTATAAGTCACAATTGATCTTAACATAAACATTGTTTTCTCCAAAGTGGGAAGGTAGGTAGGCCTTGCAACCCATGATATTGATTTCCCCCTGAACACGTCCAGCAACCATGACTTCTCTATGACCAATGATGACCATAGGGGTCATACTTAAGAGGAATCCTTCATTATGGTGCAAACCTTGATGTCAGCCACAGGTTCAGTGTGAAGCAGTGGTGAGCATGGTGTGTGAGCTCTATTCCAGAACACCTTCAGGTAGAGACCACACTGAATTCTACCTCAGGAAAGTCACATGGGACAAAAATGGATATTGCCCCTTCCTTGTTAGGTCCTGAATTTGGCAAAGATAAACCTGCTATTATCTGAGAGGCCACAGGTCTAGGGCTGGTGAATGAATATTTCTGCAGTATCATTCGATGTCTAAAATCAGATTTCTCTTGTCTGTGCCTGGTCACAACGTAAGTCATGGATCCTGAACTGCAGATGTGCACCTTGAGCATTTGTGATATTTAAAGAGGAGTGTGTCTCACAAATCCCATCTCCTGGAAGATTACTATACCAATCCTGAGGTCCTGAGAGCTCAGAGTTTACATAGCACATTATGAGGACACGCTGTGATTACCATTCAGTGGTCACTCTTGCAACTTCTAGGTGCAGGCAATGACCCAAATCACCAACAATATCTGTGGAAATTACCGGAGGGTCCACTAGTGAAAGCTTCCCAGTGGGTAGATATTGTTGAATTTCTGCCCCGGATCAACATAGACTGCTTTCCTTTCTGACAATGTTTAAAGTTAACTATACCTCGGTGCCTGAAGGATAACCCAGAGAACATGTCTGAAAGGGAAAGAAAGTGTCTCAAAAGAGCCTTGGGAAATGAATGTGTTCCTCTTTCTTTTTTTTATGAGACAGTGTTTCTCTGTATTGTTTTGGAGGTTTCTGAACTGTAGACTGGATATTGAGAAGGGTAGAGTCCATGGAGCCCTGCCCCAGGCAATCAGTAACTTAGAGAAGGAGTCATTGAGGACATACATTTCAACTATTCTCAGTGGTATTAGAGACAATATACAAATAAGTAGTGAAGCACTCAATCAGAATTCGTATACAGTTTCTATAAATTGGCATTCAGAACCTTTTACATTTGCCTGAGAGATCTCCAAATCAATCGCTCTTCATTCCAACAGTTGCTATTCTAAAGGTGTTAGACCTTTGAATTTCATCTATAGAGTCATTAAAATCCAGTCTGATGCTCCAACACCTAATATACAATCAGTAGGACCTAACCTAGGAGAAATGTCAAGGGCAGGAGATTCCTCCAGGCCCAGTGTCTCCTTCCAGTATCCCCCATAACACTTCAGAGTTCCAGAGAGTTTATAGGGACATAGAGGAGACTGGAAACATGGAACAGGTAACAAAGCTAACCCTGTCACTGATGTTGCCATAGTCATCCATGTATTTTAAGGCAGAGAAAATGGCTCTAGAACATTATTTTAAGGCATAGAATAGGAAACCCATTGGAAAATTGAAAGCAGTCTCCATTTCAACTGACCCCAATCCAAACCCTATGAAGTTCACATAAATGTCATGGAAGATATCCCCATCTGTTCCTGCCTGATATGGAGAAAGATCATATATAACACGGAGAACATGTAGAAATGAGAGCTCTGATGCCATGTGCCATGAAAGTTCAGAATCCGGAACAGGGCTTGAGCAGACCCTAACCTACGACATCTAGAGAGAGCCTGAAACCTGTTGCACCCCAGGTGACAACAAATCCCTCTTAGCGCACACTAAATGTTTATGTCTAGGTGGAAGTGTAGTGTGTGCTGTGTGTTTTGATGAGGGCTAAAACCTCTACCATTGGGTGGTATGGAGACAGCTGTCATTCTGGATCTTATAATAGCACTCTATTGGAGGGTAGAGTCAGGTGGGGAAGCTTCGGGACCTGATACCTAGATAGTCATGTGTGCTCTGCATGCTCCTCCCCTGTTAACACCTTAAACATTGTCAGTTTAAGGACATGAATGACACTCACACACACTCTTCACATAATTTTCAAGTGTCAGGCCTAGATAACTACTCCTGTTCTGACACATATGCCTCCTTCCCTGATTAGGTACAATACAGTACTGGTTGTCAGAACCCACTGATCAACACCACTCACATAACATACAGCCTCAAATACATCCCTAAATATCGGCCATGCAGTAGTTCTCATCCAGCCACATGCTAATTATTGGGCAACAATATTTGCTGAGCAAAAAAACCCCATGGGGCTCATAGATCCCTAGGCATTGAACCCTGAATGACACTTACTGAACCCCACATTAAGTTCTAGTTTTTGGGCTGTACTGGATCATCTGCCACTCTGATTAAAATCCTTAGCTCTTATTGGGCTCCAAAGAACACCACCACACCATGAAAGACAGAAATGCACTGAAAGATATCAGGCCCTCACATAAGTGAGATTCTCCAGTGTTAATATCACTTGTTGTAGGATACCTCATGATATCAACTCATATACGGGTTTAGGATGTTAAAGTTGCTTGGTATTGAAACAACACTCAGGCCATGACACATCCTAAAATGATAGCTCAAGGCCCTTTAAATAATCATCCACCTACAGTAGTCTCAACTTCATTGATAAGTATCATGCCTGGTGACTTCCATAATGCCTCACAATTACACATATATTCAGGTATTCCTGGATAACAGAGCAGCCTCTGCCAACCTACTCTAATATTAACAGGCCTGAATTGACACAAATCCATCCCATCATGTAACATATATTTAATACATAAGGTGCCATGCTAGATGCCCTGTCCTACTCCTCCCCACTGATATGCATAGTTACTCATCAGAACTTTAGACACCCTCCACTCCTATGACCACGCATCTACTTATGGTTATCAGGTGTTGTTTGACATCCCACCGCACAAACTCTACTAGCTGTCAGACTACGCTGTGAACTTCACCTCCTGTCACACTCATGAAATTGCCTGCCGAGTATTGACCCATTGGACATCCTACCTCTGTGCATTTCATAACTTCAGTGTCAGTCACCATTTCTGATGGACTCCTCCTGGACTCCTTCTCAAGCACACAAAGTGCTGTGGATCAGGTTCTACTAGTGTTACTGTGCAATGCTGTATATTAAATTCTACTGTAGTGGCATACACAGTGATGTCTATCAAGTCACCTGACCTCCAAACAGCCATCCCATATGATGTGCTAAGGTTGAGACCAAGCTCACCACACATGCTTACCATATAATGCTGTCCAAAAAACACTGGTATAAACATGCCCAGATAGAAACACACACACACACACACACACACACACACACACACACACACACACACACACACACAATGTGCCTGGTGCTTTTACGAACTTTGTCTCATATACTCAAAGGCAAGCACCTATGGATTTATAATTCACATTTGATTTTACATTGTCATTGTTCTGCTCCAAAGTGGGAAGGTAAGTAGGCCATTCCACCCATGATGCTGAGTTCTCCCTTAACAATTCCAGCAGTCATGGCATTTCTATGACCAATGATGACCATAGGCGTCATACTTACAAGGAATCCTTGATCATGATGCAACCCTTGATGACAGCCACAGGTTCCGTGGGAAGCAGTGGCAAATGTGATATGATCTGTTTTCCAGGAAACCTTCAGGTAGGGAGCAGCTCAGTGAGTTTTCAAGGGGAATTGAACTCAACAGGCATTCCAAGGCCCTGATCTGTGTGAATCATTACTGAAGGTAAGATTGAGTGAAGTAGGTATCTTTTTGTGGGTGAGGGTGAGATTCAGAAGCCTGGTCTTGATGTCCTGAAGAAAAGGTACACATGAGGTGGCCTATGCTAGCATCTCCAGCACATTGGGACAGTTACCATTGTCCTGCTTGACTGAAGAGTACTGACAGAATGAGAGACAATGGAGGTGTGGAAAGAGAGGTGCTATCTTCTTTTTGAGCTTGGCATCCAGCTTCCATTCTGATAATCTGATCCTGGCATTTTCTCAAGCAATCTTGAAAATTGAATTTGTTAATTACTACTTCATCCCTGCATGACAACAGATAGCTCGTGCTGTCACTTCCCTTCTAGCACTCTGACCATCTGATGAGTCCCATGTGCACAGAACAAGTAGCAGCTTGCATAGCGGATTACAAGGATTTTCAGTTTGTGGGAATCAACTGTGCTCAGGCCTTGCTTTTCTTGCAGATCAATGATGTCAGGTTGAATCAGGAAATGAGACAGGGAAATTTCCTGAATGCCCATTTTGTATTTTATACTTTGAGAGATGATTACCTATGGACCTGGTTAACTTGAACATTTCTGTGTAGAACAGGCAGATCTCAACATCACAGAGATCCAAGCCTGCCTCTTCTCCTGAGTGCTGTCTGGCTTTAGGTACTGTATAGAATCAATGGTAATTTCTCGCAAACATGTGAGGTAGAATCTTACCAATTTTTTTCTTTTTTCATGTGGATAGGGTCAAGATTTTACCTGAAGGAACCTTCATCCAGGAAGGACTTGAAACAGGGCGCTAACTGCAAATGTGACCTGCAGAATAGAGTCTGTGTCCACCATGAACAGACCGTTAGAGGTGAGAAGTGTTGTCATCAATTCTTTTGTGGACACAAGGCAGTGAACTGAAGGAGGTGTGTCCTAGGTGATAGATCTGTGGATTTAAGGCACAGAGTATTAACATGTAACAGCAACCCTGTTTCCCCTGAATCCCAGTTACAAGTCACATGATTTTAATCTGATCTTTCAGAATAGTGAAGACTAGGTCCCTGGTATGTTTGATTGAGTTCATCCTTTTAGGACATCAGAACATGTCGTAGAACCAAGGTGGGTCACCAGGATATTTGGTAGTTGTCTTGGTATTTTGTAGTCAGAGCTTTTACTCTAAGGACACCAATGGTAGAGATACTGCAGAAAGTCACAGTTCTTGATAGGAACTTCTTTTGACTCATCAAACAAAAGAATAGAGTTCACCTTCCTGCTGTCTCCAAGTCTAGTCTTATCATAGGCCCCACATTACTGTGTTTAATTGTCAAACATGTTTGGAATGTACATTAGGCCATGGATCCCTCTTCATAGGTGCATGATAATGGAGGGTCCAGGGCAACAGGATTCCTGATACTAAACCAACTATGACTCTGTGGAGTAGCCTCTGGGCTCTCTGTGAGAATAGAGATGATCTTCCCCCTCCCCAGTACACTGTGGATCATCACAGGAGACAACTCTCCTATTACATGTCCTTTGTGTCCTGTCATTTGAGTTCTGGCCCTGATAGACATTCAGATTTTACATAAGAAAGAACAGAGAAGGTTGGCTTTTGGGACTTGCTTGTTGCATGTAATATAGTCATCTTAAGATACATTGTTTTCTGGAAAATTTCAAATACTGACACTGAATATGTGCTCTTTGCTCCACACCCTCGTCATATATTAATTTCATGTTTGTTGATATTTCAAATTGTCTTATCTCCTTTGCAAATGGCACATTAACTTCTTTCTATATATGGGTAGGAAATTTACAAAACATAGTTCCATATCACCAGTCCCACACTTTTCCCAGCCTCTATGTCCAGTGACTGAGTTGAGTTGGAGAGCATGAGAACCTGGGATACAGAGGCAGCAAGAGACAATTTGTACAGAGAGGATTTTGGGATGATGGCAGAGACAGAATGGAGTCTGCATGGGGAGAGGGATGTGCAGTGGAGTAAGAACAGTGGGGTAAGAACACTCCCAAGTGATTAAACTATGCTGTGTTTTATTACCAGGGGTTTGAAGGTTCACAATTGCTACCAAAAAAAGATCCAGAGAAAATGAACTGTTTGTTGTTTGACACACAGCTTTTGTGTTTGTGGGTAGTTACTAGTAAAGCAGGCTTCAGTCCTGATGCCCGTAACTGACACCAATACATGGGTAAAAGGTACTTGCCTACCATGGCAGGTCATGGAATCTCACAAGAGACAGCACAAGTGGACCCAGGGCTCCAAGCCCATGTGCTGATCTCTAAGATTGTGAATTTCAGAATGAAGACATGATGCCCAAGAGAGCAGGTGAGCATAATGTGCACTTTTTACGTCTCTGACCACAGTAGGGATGATATTGTGGCCTTTAGAGTGTTATCTGAGAGAAGTCAGCAATGATAAGATTCACACACTTAGCACCCTCCTGCCTCACTCTCTGTCTGATGGATGGAACAGGAACAGGAACGGGGCAGTCAATACCAGCTATTCGTTTACACATCTTTACAGACACTACTCCAACTTGGTCAGTACTCTAATTGTCGTTCTTAATTGGTCTAATTAATTAAAACCAGGTGACTGATATGGAGGAAAATGATGAGATACCAGAGAGAAGGTGCAAGCCATGGCCATAGCTCACCTCCTCAGCAACTCAGGAGACAAGGGAGTGAGTTCCTGTTTCCCTGTGTTATATTCGGCCCAGCTATCGCACTTCATGTCTGTCTGTACAGAATTCTGTGGTTAGTTAGTGGCAAGCTCCATTCTCTAATCCTCAGTCAGGCAATGTTTTTACAGGCAAGATATCACCACACAGTTCTGTTCACCTTCCAGTGGAGGAAACTGAGTCCTAGAGATGTTCTGAACTTGCTCTTTTGGAGAGCATTACTGATTAGAACACTGCTTATATTCCTTTGATTCAGATAGATAACAATTGTGGTAACAGCCTGGGTCACTTGAATTCTCAGAGGTCAACTGCAGAATTGTAATTGACCTTACTTTCTCTCCAGGTTCTGTTGGTCATGTTCTGTGACAAAGCTCCTTTCACCATATGTGCACCGTATGTCATCTAGGTGAGTGTCCAATAGGAAGGGGTGCAGGAAGCTCAGGGCCCAGGTACACAACATGATGGTGGTAAACTGCTGCTACTCCTTGATACTACAGACTTGTTATGGGACAGTAGCAGGGAATCCAGGACAAGCAGGAATGGGATCTTCCTAAGAGACCACACTGAATTCTACCTCAGAACATCACATGGGATAGAAACGGAGATTTACTGGTCCTCATCAGGTATTGATTTTCAGAAATATAAAACTGCTATTAACTTAGAGGCTACAGGTCTAGGGATTGTGAATGAATCTTCTGTAAGACTCATCAGGGGTCTAAAATCAGCCCTTTTTGTATTTTATGTTATTAGAGAGGATTGACTATGGTCCCTGGCTAACCTGAGCCTCTCTATATATAACAGCCATATCTCAAAATTACAGAGATCCAAGCCTGACTTGTTTCCTGGGTGATGTCTCGCTTCAAGTACTGTATTGCATCACTGGTAATTTCTTCCAAACATGTGAGGTAGAATCTTACTAAGGTTTTTTTTTTGCTTTTTTATCTGCACAGGGTCAAGGATTGATCTGAAGAACATTAATCCAGGATGGACTTGTATCAGGAAATAATCTAAATTGGGCCTTCAGAATAGAGACTGTGTCCACTTTGAACAGATGTCTGGAGGTGAGAAGTTCTGTCATGAATTCTGTGGACCCAAGGCAGGGAACTGAAGGAGGTGTGCCCTAGCTGGTAGATCCTTGGATTTAAGGCACAGAGTATTAATGTGTAGGACTAACGCTGTTTACCCAGAAACTCCACCTGCTGTCCAGTTACAAGTTACATGACTTTCATCTGATACATCAGAATAGTGAAGATTGTCTCCCTGGTGTGATTGATTTTGTTCTTTCCTTTTAGGCCATCAGAACAAGTCTTATAACCACGGTGGGTCACTGAGACATTTGGTAGTTGTCTTGGTATTTTGAATGCAGAGGTTTCAGTTCAAGGACAAAAATGGTAGAGACACTTGAGAAAGCCACACTTCTAGATAGAAGCTTCTTTTTGACCTCATCCATCAAAAGGATAGAGACCACTTTCCTGCCATCTTCCAAGTCTAGTCGTCTCATAGGCCCCACATTGCTGTGTTTTCTTGTCCAACGTGTTTGGGTTGCACTTTAGGCCTTGGATCCCTGTTCATAGGTGCATGATAATGGGGAGTCCAGGGCAGCAGGAGTCCTGATACTAAACCAACTAGGACTCTGGGCAGCAGACTCTAGGCTTTTGTGAGGGTAGAGGTGATCATTCCTCTCCCCAGTACACTGTGGACCATCCCAGGAGACCACTGTCCTATACATGTCCTTTGTGTCCTATCATTTGTGTTCTGGCCCTGATAGACCATCAGGTTTTACATTTGAAGGAAAAGAGATGGTTAGCATTTGGGAATTGAATATTGAATTCTATATAGCCATCTTAAGATGCATTGTTTTCTGGAAATTTTCAAATACTGACACTAAATATGTGCTGTTTGCTCCACATCCTCTTCATATATTAATTTCATCTTTGTTGATATTTGAAACCATTATCTCTCCTTTGCAAATCGCACATTAACTTGTTTCTCTATATGGGTTTGAAATGTATGAATCTTTGTTCAAAATCACCAGTCCCACACTGTTCCCAGTTTCTATGTCGAGTGACTTAGTTGAGTTGGAAAGCATGAGAACCTGGGATACAGATGCAGCAAGAGACAATTTGCAGAGGGAAGATTTACAGAGGATGGGAGAGACAGAATGGAGTCTCCATGGGGAGAGGGATGTGCAGTGGGGTAAAAACAGTGGAGACTGAGTGCTGCATATTTCAGATTCCCTTTCAATCCTTTCCACATGTCCTTGTCTTTAAACTCATGAACTCTATACATCAGGTGACACAGGCTGGAGATTTCACGCTGTGGACTGAAAGAGAAGTAGGAAATATGCAGAAATTACAAATTACAGTGTGCCCAGAATCCAGCATGAAGTCTGTGTCCAGCACAGGAGGAGGTAAACCATCTACCACAGGTTTCTCCCCAGGAAACCCCAATATTCAAGGAAAAATGGTCAAGGTCTGCCCTTTCATATCATCTTAGACGGAACTCTGAACCAATACCTTGTCCCACGTTGCCATGAATGTACAGAACCTGTAGACTAGTGAAATGTTTCCCCAATGAGGGCAAGGAAGCTCCTTTCCTTCTTGTCTCCTCCTCCTCCTCCTCCTCCTCCTCCTCCACCTCCTCCTCCTCCTCCCCTCCCTGCTGTTTTGTTTGGAGTCGTCATTTATCCTTGTGACCTGACCTTTAGAAAAGCACAGTTACACTGCATGCTGGTGAAGTTTATGTGTTTGGGAGGGGAACTCACTGTAGCATGTTCATCAGAACTATATTTGTCTCCTGACAGGAAGGTGACAGCAAGCTGGAGGAAATTGGGTGTCACTGTGGGTGGAATGCTAGTATGCTCCATTGTGGAAGTGAGTAGGATTTTCCTAGCCTAGGACACAGAGGCCAGAGTTGGGGTCAGTGTTTTTTAAACTACTTTGTTCCTATATGTCCCAGGGTCCAGGGGTCAGGCCTGGACAGGTTGGGTGACAATAAAGTTCATCTGTGGGCCCCACATGTCATCACTGTGAGCACTATGTACCAGCCTGTGAAAGATGAGAAGTTTTTGTTTTACGCTGTACACCCAACTCTGGCTTACAGGGAGGTAGCAGATGACTTTCTAGGCAGGTTTCCTCAATCCCAAGGGAATGTGTTTGTTGACCTCATGTTACAGAGGACCAGAAAGAGAAAGTCAGCATCACCCTAGGCGTGGATTCAGAGGGATTTTGAGAGAACTTGGTGCAGGTAGCACATATCTCCTCTCTGACACTAACAGCACTGAGGAGGAAGTGCTTGATTCAATGAGGGTCAACATCTTCTTACACCTGCGTATTATGATAGTAATAAGATATGATAGTCATGACTTTCTGTCACACCCAAGTGACTAAATATATGTTGTGTTCCATCACCAGAGCCATGAATGTTAACAATTGCTAAATATATGTTGTGTTCCATCACCAAAGCCATGAATGTTCACAATTGCTAGCAAAAACCAGGTCCAGAGACTCTGAACTGTTTGTTGCTTGACACACATCTCCTGTTTTTGTCAGTACTTACAACTAAAGCACGCTTCATTTCTGATGCCCTTAAGTGACATTAATACGTGGATAAAAGATACTTTCCTACCATGGCAGGTCATGGAATCCCACAAGAGACACCACAAGCAGACCCAAGGCTCCAAACCCATGTGCTTGTCTCTAAGCTTGTGAATCTCAGAATGAAGATATGATGCCCAAGAGAGCAGGTGAGCATAATATGAACATTTTACATCACTGGCCACTGGAGGGAGCATTTACACTGTTACCTGAGAGAAGTCAGCTCATGATCAGTCTCCCTTTTTAAAACCTTGCTTCCTGGGAACTGCACAGAGCTCCCAAGCCCGTCGGGAGCCAAGCACCCAGACCCCAGGTCTTCTCTCCCACCAACGAGACCAGGAAAGGAGAGGAGGCTGGGAGTCCAGGGAAGCTGCGGTTCTTCCAGCAGCATCAGGTAAATAGGCCGACTTCCCGGCCTGTGCTCCAGTGCCTGCAGATCCCCTGGGACCTGCACAGAGCTCCCAATCCCGGCTGGAGCCAAGCACCCCAGACTCCGGATCTTCGCTCACACCAACGAGACCAGGAAAGGAGAGTAGGCTGGGAGACCAGCCAAGGGGCGGTTCTTTCAGCAGCATCAGGCAAACAGGCTGGCTTCCCGGCCTGTGCTCCAGTGCCTGCAGATCCCCTGGGAACTGCACAGAGCTCCCAATCCCGGCGGGAGCCAAGCACCCAGACCCCAGGTCTTCTCTCCCACCAACGAGACCAGGAAACCAGAGGACCCAGGGAGACCAGGGGAGTAGCTGTTCTGGATCAAGTACAACAGGACCCAGCATAGGGTCCAGGGGACCAGGTAAGAGGATAAGCGCCCCAGATTCCTGTTCTTCTTCTCCACCCACGGGACCAGCATTCGGACAAGGAATAGAAGAACCACCAGATTATTGGACTTGCTAGCACCCACCAAAAGGGAACGCTGGTCCCCAGACCAGTAAGGGGCTCTTTCTGTACCCACTAGAAGAAGAGATGGGAAAGAGACAATACAAAAACACAGTCAGCAACAGAAAAACAAATATGACACCGCCAGATTCTAGAGACTCCACACCAGCAAGACCCCAACATTCCAATGCGGACGAAACAGAAGAGAACGACCTTAAAAGCACTTTCATGAAAATGATAGAGGCCCTAAAAGAGGATATTGGAAAATCCCTCAAAGAAATGGAAGAAAAAACAAACCAAAAGATGCAAGAATTGGAAGAAAAAACAAACCAAAAAAGGCAGAAAATGGAAGAAGAAATGAAGCAAAAAATGCAAGAAATGGAAGAAAAAACAAAACAAAAAATGCAAGAAATGGTAGAAAAAACAAAGCAAAAAATGAAAAAAATGGAAGAAGAAACAAACCAAAAAAGGCAGGAAATGGAAGAAGAAACAAAGCACAAAATGCGAGAAATGGAACAAAAAAAAACAAACCAAAAAATGCAAGAAATGGAAGAAAGAACAAACCAAAAAATTCATAAAAGGCAACAAACGGACGAACAGATAAACAGAAAATTGCAAGAAGCAATGCAAACACTGCAAGGGTTGATAACTGAAATAGAGTCATTAAAAAAAACACAATCTGAAGAAAGGCAGAAAATAGAAAAGCTGGACAAACAGACAGGCACTACCAATACAAGCATTACCAACAGAATAGAAGAGATGGAAGAGAGAATCTCAAGTGTTGAAGATACATTAGGAGAAATGGATTTATCAACCAAAGAAAACCTTAAATCCAACAAATCCTTAACACAAAACATCCAGGAAATATGGGACACCATGAAAAGACCAAACCTAAGAATAATAGGTATAGAAGAAGGAGAAGAAATCCAGCTCAGGGGCAGAAGGCATATTCAACAAAATCATAGAAGAAAACTTTCCCAACCTTAAGAAAGACATGCCAATGAAGGTACAAGAATCCTACAGAACACCAAATAGAGTGGACCACAAAAAAATCCCTCACCACATAATAATCAAGACCCCAAACATACAGAATAAAGAAAGAATATTAAGAGCAGCCAAGGAAAAAGGTCAAGTAACATATAAAGGCAGACCTATCAGAATTACACCTGATTTCTCCATGGAAACGCTGAAAGCCAGAAGGTCCTGGATAGATATTCTACCTACACTAAGAGACCACAGATGCCAGCCCAGACTACTATACCCGGCAAAGCTCTCAATCACTATAGACGGAGAAAACAAGATATTCCATGACAAAACTAGATTCAAGCAATATGTGTCCACTAACCCAGCCCTACAGAAAATTTTGGAAGGAAAACTCCAACCCAAGGAAGCTAACTACAACGAGAAAAACATAAGCATTAGAGAATCTCTCTCTACCAACAGCCAAAAGAACAAAGGGGTGAAATTCCACACATAATTCCACCAACAACAACCATCGCAAATCGAAGAAGGATGAGCAATCATTGGTCATTAATATCCCTCAATATTAATGGCCTTAACTCACCCATAAAAAGACACAGACTAGCAGATTGTATTCGAAGACAGAACCCTTCCTTCTGCTGCATACAGGAAACACACCTCACCCTTAAAGACAAACATTACCTGAGAATTAAAGGTTGGGAAAAAATTTTTCAATCGAATGGACCCAAGAAACAAGCCGGGGTACAATCCTAATATCTAACAAACTAGACTTTAAAATAAAATCAATCAAAAGAGATGAAGGAGGTCATTACATACTCATCACAGGTGAAACCCACCAAGAGGAAGTGTCTATTCTGAACATCTATGCCCCAAATACAAAGGCACCCACATTCGTTAAAAAAACATTATTAGAACTTAAATCTCATCTAAAGCCCCACACAGTTATAGTGGGAGATTTCAACACACCACTCTCACCACTAGACAGGAATACCAAACAGAAACTCAAGAAAGAAGCAAAAGGTCTAATAGAAGTAATGACCCAACTGGGATTAACAGATATCTATAGAACATTTCATCCACATAAAAAAGAATATACCTTCTTCTCACCACCACATGGAACCTTCTCAAAAATCGACCACATACTTGGCAACATATCAAACCTCAGCAGCTACAAAAAAATTGGAATAACTCCATGCATCTTATCAGACCACCATGCTTTAAAATTAGAATTCAACAACAACACAAATTGCAGAAAACCTACAAACTCATGGAAATTGAATAATGCTCAACTGCACCATCCCTGGGTCAAAGAGGAAATAAAAAAAAGAAATTAAAGACTTCCTCGAATTCAATGAGAATGAAGACACAACATACCCAAACCTATGGGACACTTTGAAAGCAGTGCTACGGGGGAAGTTCATAGCGCTAAATGCTCACATGAAGAAACAGGAGAACAGTTATACCAGAGAATTAACATCACAGCTGAAAGCTCTAGAACACAAAGAAGCACACTCCCCCAGGAGGAGTAGACGCCAAGAAATAATCAAATTGAGGGCTGAAATCAATCAAGTAGAAACCAGGAAAACAATACAAAGAATCAACGCAACGAAGAGTTGGTTCTTTGAGAAAATCAACAAGATAGACAAACCTCTGTCCAAACTTACCAAACAGCAGAGAGTGAACACGCAAATTAACAAAATTAGAAATGAAAAGGGGGACATAACAACAGACTCTGAGGAAATCCAGAGAATCATTAGGTCATACTTTGAAAACCTGTACTCCACAAAATTCGAAAATTTAAAGGAAATGGATGACTTCCTGGACAGCTATCATTTGCCAAAACTAAATCAAGAACAGATAAGCAATTTAAATAGACGTATAACCCCTATGGAAATAGAAGCTGTCATCAAAAGTCTCCCAACCAAAAAAAGCCCAGGTCCAGATGGCCTCAGTGCAGAATTCTACCACAAATTCAAAGAACAGCTTATACCAATTCTTCTCAAAGTGTTCCACACAATAGAAGCAGAAGGGTCTTTGCCAAACTCTTTCTATGAGGCTTCAATAACCTTGATCCCCAAGCCACACAAAGATACAACCAAGAAAGAGAACTTCAGACCAATATCCCTCATGAACATTGATGCAAAAACACTCAATAAAATACTGGCAAATCGGATCCAAGAACACATCAAAACAATCATTCACCACGATCAAGTAGGTTTCATCCCAGGAATGCAGGGATGGTTCAACATACGAAAATCCATCAACGTAATCCACCATATAAACAAGCTGAAAAACAAAAATCACATGATCATCTCACTAGATGCTGAAAAAGCCTTTGACAAAATCCAACACCCTTTCATGATAAAGGTCTTGGAGAGATCTGGGATAACAGGGACATACTTAAACATAATAAAAGCTATATACAGTAAACCAACAGCCAACATCAAACTAAATGGACAGAAACTCAATGCAATTCCTCTAAAATCAGGAACAAAAAAGGCTGTCCACTCTCTCCATACCTTTTCAACATGGTACTTGAAGTCCTAGCTATTGCCATACGACAACAAAGGGGGATCAAGGGGATACAAATTGGGAAGGAAGAGGTCAAACTTTCACTGTTTGCAGACGATATGATAGTTTACATCAATGACCCAAAGAACTCTACCAGGGAACTCTTACAGCTGATTAACACCTTCAGCAAAGTGGCAGGCTACAAGATCAACTCAAGAAAATCAGTAGCCCTACTATATACAGATGATAAAAGGGCTGAAAGAGAAATCAGAGAAACATCACCCTTTACAATTGCCACAAATAACATAAAATACCTTGGGGTAACGCTAACCAAACAAGTGAAAGACCTGTATCGTAAGAACTTTGAATCTTTAAAGAAAGAAATTAAAGAAGCCCTCAGAAAATGGAAAGATCTCCCATGCTCTTGGATAGGTAGGATCAATGTAGTAAAAATGGCAATCCTGCCAAAAGCAATCTACAGATTCAATGCAATCCCCATTAAAATCCCAGCACAGTTCTTCACAGACCTTGAAAGAACAATAATCAATTTTGTATGGAAAAACAAAAGACCCAGGATAGCCAAAACAACCCTGTTCAACAAGGCAACGTCCGGAGGCATCACCATCCCTGACCTCAAGCTCTATTATAGAGCTATAGTCCTGAAAACAGCTTGGTATTGGCACAAAAATAGACAGGTAGACCAATGGAATCGAATTGAAAACCCGGGTATTAACCCACACACGTACGAACATCTGATCTTTGACAAAGAAGCTAAAAATATACAATGGAATAAAGAAAGCATCTTC